CACACACACTCACTCACACACACACACACACACACACTCACCCACCCACACACACGCACTCACTCACTCACACACACACACACACACTCGTCATGACAGCGCAGGAATTCAAAACGTTCATGCATCACAGCACACGTAGACATGATTGATCTGAATCTTAAAGAGACAGTTCAGATAAAGCATGATCGTTCTGTCATCATTTACTCGCCCACATGTTGTTTCAAACCTATTTTGACTTTCTTTCTTCTGCGGAAGATATTTAGCCATAGGTAGCCATGGATGTCTTTCGCAGCATCTTGCGCATACTAAAAATGCAGTGCTCAAATGAAAAGAACGGTTTAGAAACACATCTCCAATTGTAAACGCAAAAATGCATTCTTTTTAGAATCTAGTGGACCATTCTTCAGACGACTGTTACGATCTGATGAGCTTTCTGATGCTTCAAAGACAATTAATATTCAGTAAAATTGATCAAAATGAAGTAATTTAACTTAACAACGCTACATTATTTTGAAAATGCAATTAGAACTAAAATGATTCATTCCTGAATTTGAAGAATGTTGTGACACTGACGATTTGAAACGATTTTTATTGTATAAAGCACTACTTTTTGTGGTACTTTTTTGCAGTTCAGCAACTTTTGAGTGAAAAAGTGCAGCGTGACCATTCGGATAAACATCTCCTTTTGTGTTCCACTGAAGACAGAAAGTGTGAAACAACATGTTTTAAGTTATAATTCCATTTGGAACTCAATGTTGGCCTCCTTTATAACATGCCGTGATGGTATCAGACGGTAGAAACATGGTGGTTTTTGCCCTAGAGGAGGCTCAGATCACTTTAAGACCACGAGACAGGGATCACATACTGAGAGTTTGAGTTTGTTCTGGATGCTGGTGAAGATTCAGATCAGATTGCAGGAGATTCTGACCTGCCAAATCCACCAGCATCATCATCTGCCCGCCTACACACACACACACACACACACACATACACACACACACACGCACACACGCATACACACACACACACGCACACACGCATACATACACACACACGCATACATACACACACGCACACACGCATACATACACACAC